GCCAGCTCTAAAAAGCCTCACTTATAACCACCATAGGCTTTGAGGGGACATGTAGATATAAACCATAACATTCCACCCTAGGGTCCCAAAAGACTCATGTACATCCTTTTATGCCAAAAGCATTTAGTCCAGGGCCAGGGATTTAGCTCAGTGGTTCTGGCTCCTGCCTCGCAAGTGCAAGGTCCTGAGTTCATCCCCTGGTACCAAAAAACAAACAAACAAAAACAAACAAAAAGCATTTAGTCCATCTCTAAGAGTTGCCAAAGTCCTAACAGTTTCAACACTGCTGAAATGTACAAATCCAAAGTCCTCTCTGAGGTTTAAGGCAAATTCTTACCTGTAAGCCCCTGTACAAATGAAAAAAAAGTTAAACACTTCCAAATTACAATGGCATAAGATAAACATTTCCATTCCAAAAAGGTGCAAAGAGGGGAATAGAAAGGAATGAGAATAAAGCAAGTCCAAAATCCAGCAGGCCAAACATTTAAGTCCTATGGTTCCATGTCCAGCATCCCTGGCAATTTGAGGCAAGTAGTGAACTCCAAATGGTTTGGGTGGCTCTGCCCCTATGACATTGCCAGTGGTTGTAGCTCCTGCAGCTTCTCTCTTCAGCCGGCTCTGCTCCCTCCTTGCAGTTTTCCTCAGACAATCCATGTTCCTCACTTCTCCAAACTTCTGGGGTCTCTACTGCACCTTTGGCTTCACACTCACAGCTTCACATCCTTCCCTCTCAGGGCATATTGCCTGACTTCCCAGGCCTTCTTTAGAAATCTGGGTGGACGCCTTCCTGACCCCACAACTCTTGCATTCTGCATGTACCTAAAACCAGCACCACATGGATGATACCAAGGAATGCTGCCAGCTGGAGCAGTAGCTGAGCTTCCTTCTCTCTTGGCTATAGGGGTTAAGTGCCTATGAACCTGATTCCAAGAAACAACTTCCCTAGGCTGCCACCATTCTGGAACATGGTATTCTGGGGCACTCTTGAGGCAAAGTCTTTCACCTTTATAACTCTGAGTCTGCAAAGGCTGAAGTCCTGCTGATTCCTGGGATGTCTTTAGACCCTCTTTTCTGTAATCTTCTGAAATACTTGGCTTTTGTTTTTTTTCTGGTCTTTTCAGCAGCCAATCTCCCCTCGGTTCCATCTTTGTAGGTTGCAACTTTAATAGAGCTTCCTTTCTGGCCAAACTCACAACGCTGAATCATTTTGCTAGGCTCTTTGCTCTTGATTCTCAACATAAATCTGGCTAAAAGTCCCCAATAGTAGCCATGCCACCACCTCAACATTAGACTGCCTTGAAATTTTTTCTGCATGATTAGTTAACCCACCACCCTTAATCTTAGTCTCAGGAAAAATCCCTGGACACAAGCAAAATGCAGACAAACTTTCTGTCAAGCCAGAACACACATTGTCTGGACTTCAACAGTCAATGTAGTCCTTCACAGCAGAAAACTCCTGTATCATTTCTGTCAGTATTCTGGTCTTCTGATCTCTGACTAGACTCTCTCATCAAGTACAGCCGAAGGTGTTCCAGCTCTTTTTCAGTTGGCACCTCCAAACTTTTCCTAACTCTTCCCCTTCCCACAAGCCAGCTCCAAAGGCTCTTAATCTACGCAATCACGTACAGTCACAGCAAGAACCCCACTTCTCTGGTACCAAATTTTGTCTTAGTTACTTTTCTTGTTGCTGAGACAAAACACCTAACACCTACAAGTTAAGAGAGGAAAAGTTTATTTAGCTCACAGTTTGTAGAGGTTTCAGTTCATAATCAGCTGGCTCCAAGGCAGGGTGCCATGGCAGATGGGCATCGCAGAGGAGAAACAGTTCATGGCAGCCAGAAGGTAGCAAAGCAAGCAAGCAAGGGAGGGCCACAGTTCTTTCTATCTCTTATATCTTATCCAGGCTACTTAGGGTAGGTAGCACTCACACCCTTAATCCTAGTGTCCTTGATCCTAGCACTGCACTGTGAATGATCCCAGTGTCACATACTTTAGATCCAGCCACCTCTGGAAAAGCTCCACCTATGACTACATGAGGCTTTAGGGCAACATCTAGATACAAGTCATAACACCCCATTTTAGAGTATTAGTGAATCTCCTATATGAGGTGACTTAAAGGCTAGAAACTGAACCCTTAAAATGGACAGTAGCTGCTCAAGAGGCTTTCAAAGCCTTAAAACAGGCCTTAATGCAGGCCCCAGCATTAGGAATCTCAGACCTAACTAAGCCTTTTTCTCTCTTAATAGCTGAAAGACAAGGAGTGCTAACTCTATCATCTGGGCCAGAAAAACTGACCAGTTGCCTATTTTATAGGGTGGCCTAACTGCCTGTGAGAAATTGCCAATATGACAGTCTCAGTCCAGGAAGTTTCTAAAATAGCTCGGGACAAAAGCTTAGTGGATAAATAGAAACCATCTTGGAATATCTTCCAGCCTTGGGTCTCATTTGGTGGTCACAGCTTCCAGCAGCAGTATGGAGGCCTCCTAGGATACAGGTGACCTGGAGTACCCGGCAAAGCCTATTTCTAGCACCATAGGGTTTGGAGGATGAGAGTCTATGGGTGAAATTGTTGCAGACACCAGTGATATCTCCATCACGGGCAACATGTTGAGCATTGTGATGGTTGACTGATTGTGTCAACTTACTAAATCAGCTCAGCAATTCCACACCCTATGGCATAGAGGACCTGCCCTAGGGTGGCTCTTACATACCCTAGGGTGTAAGAGACGCACCCTAGAGCAGCTTGTGACCTGGAGGGTGTAAAGTGGAAATGAAGGAGGGATCTGCTTCTGTTCCTTCAGAGGAGCTCCAGTCTTTGCCTTGTATGTCATCTCCTGGCTTTCAGTGCACTCTTCGGCTTCAGGCATAGATCCTTCAGCCTTTCAGCATAAATTCTTCAGCCTTCCAGTGCAGACCCATTGGCCTTCTGATATGGACTCACATGGGACACTGCAGTGAGCTCCAGACCTTCAACTAAATCCTGAGGCCTCCAGTATGCAGACAGACCCTCTGTACTCTTCCTCATAAAACTCTGTGGGTGGCCATTGTAAGCCAATCTTGTAAATTCATGTATATTTGTATATCTTGTGTTATATCTGTTTCTCTAGTAAATAATGACTGATACAGGACTGATCTGTAAGAATACAGACCTCAAGTTCACCTCACTGAAGACCTGTTTCCTCCCTGATGAGGATGACTTCTACTTTGGTGGCACAACTCGAAGCTGCTAGGTGACGACATCTAGAAGTTCCAGCTGATGCCCACACTGCTGCTGTCACCAAGCTGCGCATTCCCAGAGACTGCAGACTGGGCCACCAAGATACAGCCTGTGGGGTGACCTGGCAAAGAATGAGGCATTGAGCCTTGCAGAGCTGAGCTGTCTCACCTTGAACCCTGTAATCCTGTAGGATTGCATGTGGAGCAACTTCTCTGTGAGAAGCTGTAGTGCAGGGAGAGCTAGATGCTGTTGCTTGGCAGCATGACCCTGATCCCTGGACTCTCTGACCTAGACCCCAGGAACTTGCATGGGGGGAGCCACCCACTGCATGGATCCAACCATGGTCTTCCCATTTGGGTAGAACCCCTTGTGAGCCTGAGTCCACGGCCTGCACTGGGGATCCAGCAAGGTGCAGCAGTGCTTGCTGGAGTCTCCGCAGTGGCCATAGACCCAAGGGCCACCTCCCCATACTCCAGAGTCCACCCAGACCCCAAGATGCCAAGCACTTCCCACAAGGACATGCTAAACAACTTAGATGACAAAGATGATGAAGAGGAGATCGACATGGTCACTGTGGAAAAGTGGGGATCCTTGTCCAGGGGCAAGGCAATCACCACCTTCACTATCATTGTGTACTCCAAGAATACCACCTTGGCCCTGGGGAAGTACAACCCAGCAAGCTGACCCTCAAGTGCTGTGGCCCCATCCACCAGCAGCACAACTGTACTAAGAAGATGAAGAGCAAAGCGTCACTGTACACCCTCAAGAGTACAGTTTCCCACAAGCCCAAGCATTCAAACCCACAGAACTCTGACTCTGAGCAACCACAACATGCTGGAGCACCAGCATCAAAATGACCTGCAACCTGACTTCCTCATGCTCAGGGATCATGTGCCTGAGCTGGTGAGGAATGAAAAGGCTGCCAAAGAGGTCATGTTAAAGAAGGCCCCTGAGTATGTGTACCCCCCTATAGGCTGAGGAGCACCAGCTGACATTGGAGAAAGAAAAACTACAGGCTGGGCAGCACTGGCTGTTAAAGAAGGTCAAGCTTGTGATGACTTGCTAGGCATCCCTCCAACTGAGGGGTGAATGGACACTCACTACCAAGTTTCTGCTTATTTGATTTTTATTTCTTTTTATTTATTTATTTTTGGTACTGGGGATCAAACCCAGGACCTTGCGCTTGTGAGGCAGGTGGCAGAACCACTGAGCTAAATCCCTGACCCTGATTTTTATTTTTAAATATTGTATTGACTTCAAGAATGTTGGTTTACTTTCTCCAATTGGTTTCCTTTTGTGTTTGGACCTGGGTGGGGCCAGGACATGTGGAGTTCTGCAGGATGTCCAAGAGCTCTCTCCCAGGATGTTGGGTGGCTTTGGCATCTCCTCCACTTTTCACCCCTATGGCAGCCTTGATGTTGTGACAGTTGGGAGCCTCGGGCTGTCCTCACCTTTGTTCCTTACAAGTTTTGTTCCTTCTTTTTACTATGGTGCTTAAATTTGAGCTGTTGCCACCATCCAGGTTGGCTGGTCAATTATTGCACTACCCCCATTTCTGTAAATACCGTTGATACTGTCTTTGGCAAATGTCCTGGGTTATGAAAGGTGGCTTTTGCCACCAGTATTAGATTGGAAATTCATGCATAAGTACTGTAATAATACCTAAATGTTGAGAAGCATGTTTTGTATATATATTGCTAAATTTTGTAATGTACTGTACTAATTCTTATACTGCCTGTATACTTTAGTATGACATGGATATATAACTAAATTTGATACTTACATTTTTGTATAAAAATGAATTGTAAAAGTTTTGAGTACAGGACCGGGGATTTAGCTCAGCACTTCCACTGTCTGCTTCGCAAGCATAAGGATCCAAGTTCGATCTCTGGTACCAAAAAAAAAAAGTTTTGAGTAGATATTACTTTATCACTTTTTGAAATAAGAAACTTTTGTAAAGAAATTATATATATATATATACACACACACACATATATATATATATATATGTATATATACATATATGCCTTTTTCCTAGCCTGTTTTCTCCCCTTAATGTATTTGTTCATGATTGGTACACAGAACAGGGTAAATGCACATCCTGTGTTGAATTTCTTCAAACTATATTATTTAGGACTACATCTTATAGCACTTTGAAATACCCTATGTTGCTGGGGATTTAGCTCAGTGGTTCTGCCACCTGCCTTGCAAGCGTAAGGACCCAAGTTTGATCCCTGGTACAAAAAAAAAGAAATACCCTATGTTTATGAAAATAAATAGCAACTAAATGAGAAAAAAGTTCTTAGTTCTAATCACACATCAAGTTAAGGATGAATGGAGAAAGGCTCACTAAATATCAGGACATTCTTATGGAAAACACAGATGTTTCTCTCCTGTCTTGCACTATTTTAAACCTAGCAAGCCTCCTCCCAACCAAAAAATAGATAAAACATGAGCGTAAATAGACCATCACCCAAAATTATGCTAGCTGCCCTGATCTGAGAGTCTAACCATTAACAGGGGTGGGTAGTACATGGTTCACTAATGGCAGTAGTTTCATAAAGGATGACATTAAGAGGGCAGGCTATGCCACAGTCAGCCCTACCCAGGTCACTGAAACAAGAGCATTCCCCTCTGGGACTTCTGCCCAAGAGGCTCTCCAACTTGCCCCAGGGCAAGAGGATCAAAATACATATACTCAAAATATGCCTTTCTGGTCTTATATGCACATATAACCATCTGAAAAGAAAGAGGACTTGTCCAGTTGCCAATCTCCTAAAAAACATGGACCAGAGATCCTCAACCTTCTCAAAAAAATTTCCTAAGTAAGATAACAGCTGTCCATTGCCAGGGACATCAAGCCTCCTTGAATCCTGTCACCAAAGCACTAAGAATTAAATATCATCACAATGCATGGAGACCCCAGTCATCAGGAAAGTTTGAGAGAGTCAATCAAACTCTCAAATGAACCTTAGTCAAGTTGTGTCAAGAATCTCACCATAAGTGGGTAGATCTCCTTTGAATTGCCTCAATGAGACTTCTGATAGGCCCCAGGACCAAGCTTAATCTTAGTCTATTTGAGATATTTTATGAGAGTCCTTTGTTGACATCTGATCGCTCACTGACAGTGAAATCATACAAGTTCAACATGTGACCCATCTAGAAACTTTCTAACAGGCTCTTCAAAAAAATGTAAGATATTCTCACTCCAAGGGGCTAATAATTGTCAGCTCAAAGTCCACCCTGGAGACCAGGTTCTAGTGAAGACCTGGAAACAGGGTGGACCCTAGGACCAAAACATACACAAATGGAAAGGCCCTTATCAACTCTATTAATCACTCCTTCTGCCATTAGTGTACAGGAATAGCTCAACTGCCTGAGACAGCAGAATACAAAGGAGGGACTACAAACCTCCTACACCTGTGAACAAGTAGATGGCCTCATTTCTTTTCAGAAAACACCAATCACTCTGTTGAAGTAGATCAGTTATATTGTTTGCTCACTCTAAGTAAATTGTGAGTAGTCTCACTACTGTCTTGTTGACTACACTTAAGTCTCTGTTCCAAGTTATAATGTGACTTCTTTTGGAGTTTTTTCTGTTTCTTTTGGGATCATCCTGGATTATTCAAAGATGCCTCTAATAGAGATAATAAACAGTGTTTACTTACAGGAGACCTTAAAGCTAATCACATTTTTCTCCTATCATCAAGAGCTACCTAAGAACTTGACAGATAGCCTAGACAAAACTGCCCAGAGTATTGCTTTCCATTAAGACCAGACACTCACTAGCAGCAGTGGCCATAAAACATCATAGGGGACTTGAGCATATAACAGCTAAAACAAAGGGATTATGTTTGTCCCTAAAAGAAGAATTTAGTTCCTACGTCAATAGGTCTAAAATAATAATAGACTCAGCACAGAAACTGGCTGACTGTGCTTCCAAGATCCATGGAGAACTATTTGAGTCATGGATGTCCTGGCCAAATATCTGGACTTGGGGCTTAGTTATTGTCCTGTACATGGCCTTTATTAATGCTTCTCATAAATTTACTATTTAGATCTTAAATACTTAACCTCTTACTCAAACTTGTTTATTCTTGTGTGACAGCCATCAAACTACTGGAGATGGCCACAACTTAAGACTACAACCTCCTTCCACATCCACAGTTTGTCAAGAAAACCTTGGAGGAAGAGCTCAGCTCACTTGAATTCATAGAACAGTCAGAATTCATAGAACAGGGCCAGAGTTCTTTGGTCTCCTCCAATGCCCATATTCAGTAGAAAGTAGCTATAGAAGATGGGACTTCCTCTTTCAACACCTATCAAAGATCTTTAGGGACTAGGGCTCTCAAGGAATAAGAGTATATTGCCTGGAAGCCACCTGCCTTGCAAATGCAAGGTCCCGAGTTCAATCCCCAGTACCAAAAAAAAAAGGGTTAATTTACCATCGCAACTAGAAGAGGTGAGCCAATCTCAGCACCCAGGAGGAGGCTGCCCCATGGCCATTCCACTGCTCCTAGGGCAGAGGAGGTGAGCCA